GTGGCTGGCCGGGGATCGAACCATGGTTCCTGCTCTTTTTGCCTACGCTTGCCTAAGCAGGTGTTTTAGTCCACTGAGCAATCTCCCTGGCCCCTCATTCTATTTCTTAACACATCCATTCTTTTTTTTTTTTTTTTTTTGCGGAACTGGGGATTGAACTCAGGCCCTTGCACTTGCCAGGCAAGCACTTATTCTACTGAGCCATCTCCCCGGCCCCAACACTTCCATTCTGGACAGTACAGGGGCAAAGGGAGTCTTGGGAGAGGGCACAGCGCAGGCAGGCACACTTGAGGGGACACCACAGGGAGGGTCACGTGGAACTGCAGCTGAGCACCCTCAACCAAAGCCCAGAGGCCAGACACTCCACACTGCACCTCCCAGCACCGACACGGCACCACAAATGGAAAATTCTACGGCAGGACCTCATGTGACAAATCATAAGCCAAAGACAGGCGCACTCCAAGTTACCTTCAGACACACAAAAGGCAAACACTTACCTGGATCTCATCCCCGGAGTATGTATGTATGGAAACACTCTCAGTCCTATAAAGTCCAGGATCCCAACCTCTGCCCCGAGGGTTCCGGCTAAAGGACTCCACTTGTGTCCTCTCTAGCACGGGGGTCCTGAAACAATTTGGCCAGTAAAGCCAGTGACCCCGGCAACCTCGCCAAACTTCAGACTTGGGACAGTTGAGTTCTTAGTTACCAGTACATCAAATTTGTTGTGAGATTTTGAAATGTTTTGAGAGGCACTTTGTCAAAGCTATCATCTATCTATTCTGAATGTATAAATGTTGAGAAATTTACTTTGTTGTCTACGAGGTCAAAATGTTGCACAGAAGCCCATGTATTACTTCTGGTGTCATTTGAATGGAGGTTTTCTCAGGGTCAGGGACAGAACCCAGACTTCACATGCTCTGAGCGTGCGCCCTGCCGCCGAGCTCCCGGATCCCTGCCTCCGGGCAGATTTTAATGCTGAACCAAGCGCTTAAAAATGTTGAGAATTTATTTCTTCTGGTGCTTCAGCATTACAGACAGTTAGAACTATTTATAAATATATCTCAATCTATATTCACTTCAGCCAGGCCAATGACACTAGCGCACCCAAGAATTTTCCTTAGTGGTGGGCCTTATTTTATTTTTATGAGTACAACCTTGGCGGACGTAGCGTCACATTCCTCCTTGGGAGTCTGCACGTCCCTAGCAGCACATCTGAATCTTTTTTGTCCCCCTCCCCACAGCCCTCTCTTGTTCCCCTTTCCATTTCTGAAAGCTCTTTCCATTTTGTCTTCAATTCTCTCTTTGAAATCCTTTCCCCTTCTCTCTCTTCCCTCTCCCTTCACCTCATTGTCCATCCCATTTGGAAAAGATCCCCTACTTCCTGTTTTATTTTACACTGTATTTGTATTGTGGGTTTCTTCTGCAGGAGAAACCATGCCATAGGTAAGCCTGGGTGTCTGATTTATTTCACTTCACAGCCTGGTCTCAAATCACTGAAGTGTGTCCCTCTTTGTGACAGAGTAGCACTCCAATGGTGGACAAACTCCTCATTTAGGGATTTGTTCTAAAACTGGCCTCATGTTATTATTTGACCTTAGGTTCCCGGTCTGGTCTGTGCAGGTGCCTGGAATCCAGCGGTTGACTGAAATTGACACCGGGGCGGGAGCTCCTAAGCACTACGTCTCCCGCCACATAGCCATGAGAGCCCTAAGCCACTGCAGTGGCAGCAAAGAGCAGTGACCCTGACTCTCTGTCTCTTGCTTGCATTTTGGACATAGAAATGGAGGTTTCTCCTTTCTGTTGTCAGGGCTGTGTGGACAGGGACAGAGAGTCCTCGAACACCCAGCATGCTTGCCATGGGGCAGATGTCCTCTAGGACACATGCGTGTGCTGAGACACTGTGTTCTCAGGTCCCCTATGTGATGTCACAGGCCACTGAAAACCAACCCATCTCCAAATGATTTGTCCAGAGCAGTCCTATGATAAAGTGACTCTTAGGAATACTTTCATAAACACATAATGTTTGGGGGGCAGGTGTGTATGTTAGTGACAAACTGTATCTCTTGTGTGCAAGGTGGGAAGTTCGATCCCCAGCACCTCCCAAAGTGATACATAGGATTCTGAAAATACTGTTTTATTACTTATCACTTATTTACTCAGCATTTGCTCCTCCTATATGAAAGCCAATCTTAATTCAGATTCCTTCTCCATTCTATGAATAAACCGTGTGTCACCAAGTCAGATAGCTCATCATGATAGACTGCATTTTTCCAAGTACAGTGTTTGAAGAGGCATCCTGCTAAGGTGACTCTGGGGGGGCTTTCCTATGTGCAGACCCCACCCGCCCAACTGAGGGATACAACCCTTCCCTGTCTCAGGGAGAGCAGTTTCCCGACCTTGACATTTGAAACCAGGGACTCAGACCAAGAAAGGTACAAAGTTGCCATTTGTGGGCTGGTTTTTATCTCCTGTCTGAAAACCAAACTGGGCGCTCCTCCCCCGTCTTCCCGGCTGAGACCCTTTGTTCGCTGCCGTCATGACTGCCTCTAAAAGCCTTCTGTTTCTCTTTCTCTTGCACAGAACCCCAATGCTCATCCGAGACCCACCTCCCAGGACCTGGCAGGGTTTTGGGACATGCTGCAGTTGTCCATAGAAAATATTAGTATGAAATTTGATGAACTCCATCAGTTGAAGGCCAATAATTGGAAACAGATGGATCCTCTTGACAAGAAGGTAGAACAATGTAGATTTTGTATGGTTCACTTAAAAACCTGCACAAACCCCGGACCATCTAAATAGGCTTTCGCATCCAGTCCTGCTGTTTACAATGTGAAATGGAGCTGATATCATATTAATTTCATTGTAATGACAATGTTTACATAGTAATCATTTGGGATATTATCTGTAATATGTTTCAGGCATATTTTTTAAAGAAAAACCTGTCTTTGTGAATTGGAAAAATGGGAATGTGGCTTTTTTGTTAATTAAACTTTAAGTTAAAGCACTTTAGTCACTGGAAGGAACTGCCTCCATTTTGCTTTTTAAACTAAAATAAATGGCAACTTCAGCACATGATTCCATAGAGCAAGAGTTCAACTTCCTTACACCTTAGGACGTGTTTCCGAGAGGAACAGGAAGCCCTGAGGAATAACTCACTTTGATAATCATTTCATAAATAGAGTAATAAAGAAGTCACGGTTGTTCAAGTCTGAAAACATGCACCATGAAGTTTCTCAGTCATCAGAAAGGTTGGGATTTTTTTTTTTTCAAAACTTACACTTTTGGTTGGTTTTGCCTGGGATACTAGTGCTCACGGAGGTCCACATGCAACTGTTTAGAAATAATGACTTCAATTCCTTGACTTCAAGTGACCAGCTGTAGTTTCATCTTCAGGTGTGGTGGTTTCTACCAGGCTCCAGCAGGCATCTGACATCCAGGTCCCTAGGCTGTCCTGTTAGGCCTGACTTTAAAAAAAAAAAAAAAATCCTCTTTGCTCTTCCTTGGTCTTAAGTCAAGTAGTTTTGAGCAAGTCAACCTCTTTCTAGAGGTGAAGGAGGGATGTCTGCCCCCTGGGAGGTGGCGGCCCTGTCTTTCCAAGTGCCTTTCCACTGCTGCCCGTCATGTCCTGAGAGGGCCCTGTGGTCAGGGGCTGGCAGGAGAAGCCCAGTCCCAAGGGACCATCCGTAAGTATCAGGAGTGGGGATGCTGTTGTCACAGCCCCAGCTCCAAATCTGTCACCATCAGAACGGGCTTTTAGTGTTCAGCATGAAAGCACAACTGATGTACAGGTGGCCCGTTACTCCGGGAGCCCAACACTGTACCCCATCTGCTTTTCTTTATCTGCGAAATCACCTAGTGAGACTGTCACACCAGGTCTTGTTCTAAGGAAACACTGCAGGTGTGCACACTGGTTATTTCCCTTCTAGAGCCAGTTCATCTTATTCCGCTCTCATAATAATTTAAAAATCATTGTTAAAAGTAAACTGCGCAAAGAAGGAAAGATGCCTAAAAAGTTTCCAATACTCACACCTTTAAAAAGTCGCCCCCACAATGAGGACTTCAGCGTCTCAGGAAAGCGGCCCTGAGCGTTGGCATGCATGGCACAGGCAGTTGTCTCTGCCAGCTTGGTTGTGAGGGTCTGGAGGTGCATTTGGCTGTGACCACAGCTTTGCGCCGCTCCAGGAGCCTAGAGGAAGAGACTGGGTTTTGGGGTCCTGTTTCCCTCTGGGCTCTGCTCCTCCACCTTCAGGTACCCAGACTCTGCCTTAAGCCACCTGGGGCAACTCCCTGGTCAGATGCTGCACTGGGTGCTTCCCTGCCATGGAGGAGGACCCCGTGCCAAGTGCCGTGCAGGGACACGCGCTGGCCCTGGCAGAGTCACTCGGTCAGATTTTCGGACAGTTCTCCAACTCAGTTTCACAGAAGCACAGGGCATTTTATTGCACATGGAAATGGGTTTGTGTGGACTTTGGCACAAGCTGAGAGCTCTACATCCTTTTCCTAAAAATCCTGTGTGGCTAAGCCACAGCTTCCCCGCACTGCCCTTTCCTGCCTGCCCGGGCACTGAGCACATCCGACCGATGATAAGCAGGGCAACCCCCTCAGCCGGACTGCATTTCCATGGCTGTTCCTGTGCCTGGGAGTGGGGTGGCCTTTGGGGTACCCACATCATCCTGAGGCCCCTGTGGACTGTCGCTCTTCCTGGAAGGGTCCATTAGGAGTCACCCTGGTGTCCCCCTCTGGGGCCCAGTACTTCTCTGTGTCTGTGTGGAATATACACACGGGTTATCACTCAGTGGCCTCGGAGCACATGACCTCAGCCCTACAGCCTCTTTCTCCTTCAGGGGCAGGAGGCTGGGTCCCTGGGAGAAGGGGCAGGGTGCCAGCTTAGCCCAGTTTGCTCCTGAGGGCTCACTGCTTGGAGCTGGCGCTGAGTTGTAGATTCACTGTGGGTGCATCCCGGCCCTGTCCGGCGCTGGTCTGCAGAGAAAACCACATTCGTGTGCTGGGAACCCCAGCCTTGGGCAATGGATGCATTTTCACTTTATTTATTTTGGCTTTTTTTGAGACAGGCCTCACTATGTAGCGAAGACTGGCCATCCTCCTGCCTCAGTCTCCCGAGTGCTGGGATTTCAGGCATGCAGCGCCACACCTGGCAGGAGGCTGCATTTGATGCCCCTGAACCCTGCCCCTGGACAGACCTAACCCTGCACGCCAGCCTTAAGCTCACCAGCATTAAGCTCACCAGCATTTCTCCCCATGGCCCCTTTTGAATGCCCAAATAACGAAGCAAAACTTAGACCTAGGCAGAGCGCAGTTAGAACCCACCGCCCGAGGGGTGGGAGGACAGGAAATGTGTGTGCGTGTGTGCCAAGTCCTGACCTATCCCAGTCCTTCCCGCGCTTGTCCTGAGAAGCTGTGTAATGTCCTGAACCTTCTGCTTTGATCAGGAGAGGAGGGCCCCTCCTCCAGTGCCCAAGAAGCCGGCGAGGGGCCCCGCGCCGCCGCTGACCCGGGAGCGCTCGCTGGAGAGCTCGCAGCGCCAGGACGCCCGCAAGCGCCTGCTGGCCGCCAAGCGCGCCGCGTCCGTCCGCCAGAGCTCGGCCACCGAGAGCGCCGAGAGCATCGAGATCTACATCCCCGAGGCGCAGACCCGGCTCTGAGCGCCGCCCCCGCCCCGGACGCCCGCCTCGGCCCTGGCCCTCCACTCCATCCACCGCTGCCCCTTCTCGTGCCGGGCCGCCGCGTAGCGAGGCCGCCTGTAGGTCCCCGCCCTCGTCCTCTCCGGCACTTAGTGTGTTCCCGCAGCTCAGCAATACCAACCTAGGGTATTTCCGAAATCCGTACCTCGGGCACCTCTGGGACTCGCTGTCTTCCACGGGAAAGATGACCGAGGGCTCCGATCCCCTTTCTTTCCTCCTAAATGGTTATTCTTTTAAATAAATTTTTAAAAAGCAGATGGAGCACTTATTTCAAGCCTCAGAAAGAAATCACAGCATCTCACCGGAATGTGGAGGGACAGAGATCGAGAGAGGGGACCAGCTGGGTGTGGGGACCCGGGCTGCGCAGGGCCCTGCGCCCCTCACAGCGGCACGAAACACCTCAGTCACCTTCACCCACGGGGCTTCAAATGTTTCAATCAGCAGAAGATTGTAAATTCGATCTTTCAGGGAAATTAATCTATTCCGAAAGGCAATAAAACGAAGATAGGCTAAGCAAAGGAGGCACTGATGGTTTAAGATACTCCTTAGGGTTTTGTTTTCTTTTTCTTTTCTTTTTTACTTTTTTTTTTTTTTTTTTTTCTATTTCTCAGAGGAGCTGAAATGTTCTATCGGCTTCCGTCGTGCTGTGTATCCTGTCGTTGTGGCGGTGGTTCCGAAAGGGCACAGGGTTGGCCCAGTGGACTTAGTATCGGTCCCAGAGGGCTGCCTGGGGACGCGCACTGCGTGCCGCCTGTTTCCGGGGTTTTTCGGGGGAGAGTTGGGTTTTCCTGTCATTCCTCAGTGATCCGCACCATCCACTTGAGCCTGTAGTTCGGGCCTTTTCTCTGCTTCCTAGCCACAGCGTTCATGTGCTCCCAGCCTAGGAAACTGTCCTCTGTCCAGCGGATAAAGAGAGCTTGCCAGCCAGTGAGCACGCTGTCTCCTTCCAAAGTCTGCCGCAGACTGGGGGCTCCAGGTAGCAGGACAGAGCTTCGCCCCACAGGGTGGGCAGGCAGGAAGAGAGGGGGAGTCCCAAATGACAAACGCTGAAGAAATTCAGGATGGGACAGACGTTGTCGGTTTGCATTTTGCGTCTGGACTCCTAGGCAGTGTGCACGTCTCTCACCGCCCTTACTCCTTGAAGCAGCTTAAACATTTAGAGTATGGCGACTTTAAAGTGTCACTGGCATTTTATGTCGAGCTCATGACCTAAACTTCACCATCAAAAAAGGAAAAGTTTAAAAAACAACAACATAACATCGAGTATGCTCGCACCAGAGAAACTTTTTTTTTCTTAATACACTCTCCTAGCCTGGTGCTAATTTCAGTTTATTTATAAATTTAAGAGAGGCAATGGGTTCTGGCGACAAATATTCTTCACAAACGTATTCTGAAACCACTAGAGAATTCGCTACCTCTCAGAGCCTGTTCTGCTTTGAGCTGTCTTTATCAGCAGGGGCACAAACGCGTACTGCTGTGGTTTACAAGAAAAGGGCTACTCATTTATGTCAAAACTAACCGACCAACTCTCAACTAGGGGACAAGCAGCCTGAAGTGCTTTGCAAAGCGGGAGCAAAAACACTGAGGATTTGCTAGTTTCAGGAAAACCAAAACCCCGCCCCTTTTCTTCACCTGTGGCAGCCGAGGAGGGCAGCAGCAGGGCCTTGGTGGCCGTCTCCAGCGATCCGAACTCCTGAGAAGGCTCAGAATTCAACCCACTATGTGGTCACCCGGAAGCCGCTTCCACCCCCAAACCCACGATCCCAGCAGAGCTCTGTGCCCCCAGGGAGAGCTAAGACATAGATTAACAAATTGATTTATAAAAAAACAAAAAGAAGAAGAAGAAGAAGGAAAGAAATTGATTCTAGTGAGGTTCAAGAGTGTCCAACAATAGTTTCTTTGGAAACTGATGTAGCCCAGGATGTTTTAAAGCGAGACAAGAGAAGGCCTGTTTATCTTGTCTATAATGGTATTTGTATATTCATAAGCTATTTTTGGTAAGAATTTTAAACCTTTTAGCCAAACGCCTATAGGGTGTCATGACCTTTGCCTTCCTTGAAAACAGTTTAAATTGTACAAACACTTTATAAAAAGCTGATTACTGATGTGAGACCACGACCCCGCACAACACTGCTTGGTAGGCTGGACCCCTAAAACTGGCATCCATGAGTGTAAGCCTTTGTTACATTGTTCTTTTTGATGTAATTTGTAGAAATGTTTTTTAGTTCATAATGGAAAATGTATGTACCCTGAAAAAATTACTTATTTTGTTTAACTTTGGTATAAAGGTATCGGGCATTTTCTGGGGTAGGGGGATTACAAAAGGAGTTTGTTGCCCCATAAAAAAAAAGTTCAAAGAAATTAAGTATTTATTATATTTTTTGCAAATGTTTCCATACAATTCACATAACCTTTTTGTAAAGAGAGATGAAGAAATGGATTAAAGATTTTTAATATTTGAAATGGTAAATAGAACTAATTTATTTGTAATATATTTCTGTTATTTATAGATGTTTCCTTAATGTTTTACTGTGCATTGCCACTTTAATTTAAGCCTTATCCTTGTGAATTTACCATTTCTTTTTAAAAACATGTCTAGATGCATATTTTAAATAACTGGAATGTAAATCACTAGCATATATGAATTCCCAAGTGTAATTTTTAAAAATTATTTTGGCTTGGAAAAAAAAAGATTCATTTGAAAGCCGTCTGGTGGAGGGGTGGGGAACATTTTTATGGCTTTCTGAATTGGAATTTCATAGGCTTATTTACCTAGATTGTGTGTGGACAAAAACAACTGTAAATAGATGAGCGTTTCCCATAATGTAAAAAGAAGAAATTAATAAAATAATTAATGCACTGCTTTCACGTCTGCATGTTTTCACTTGACTCCCATTTCTTCCAAAAGCTGAAGAATGCTTTGGAAGGGAAGAGTTAAGCAATTAACCAGCACTCATCCTAGCATTCAGTGCATTCTTTCCTTCTGTTTTCTGGTTTTGAGGCGGAGGTATACTAGGTAGTTCACAGTGGGCTTCAACTCACTATGTGGCCCAGGCTGGCCTCAAACTCACCACAACCCTCCTGCCTCAGCCTCCAGAGTGCTAGGATTACAGGGGTTTGCCAACACACCAGGCACAAATACTACTCACTGGCAAGCAGGTGGGGTGAGATCCTGCCCTGTGCTTACAGGCTTTCAATGGTGAAGAACTGCGAAGACCCTTGGCTCCAAGATCACACGCACCCGGACTTAGGGCCAGCTGCTCAAGAACCTGCTAGCAGGCAAGGAGCTTCAGGCGGCTTCAGGGGGAGAACCCTGCGCCCCTTGCATCTTTTGCCCACGTGTGTTCCTTAGCCCGTGGTGCTTCCCCCGGCTCTAAGGGCACAGGAGAGTGGAGCTCCCCTGAGGCTTCTGTCTCATCTCTCAGTCACGAAAATCTGCTCGCGGGCTGCGGCGGTGCTCAGCGTGCTTCTCCGAGCCACAAACAGCAGCAAATACAGAGCCTGTCTCTGCGGTTCCGTGTTCTGGCCAAGGAGACCCCGTCACTGTAGGATGGATTTGAATTGATCACGGAGCCCTTATTCAGTGCCTTCTTTAAAATTGTCGCTGTCATTTCCCCATGTTTAAAATGCATAGTTATTTGATGCAGTCAGGGTCCCTCGGTCCTAGCTGGAACCCTATTTTATCCACAAACACACAGACTGACCCAAAACGGCCTGCAACAGTATCGCTGGAAGGCTCAGGAGGAGGCCAGGACTCAGGCATGGGCTGTTGATGGCACCGCTGCACCCTTGGGCCGCGCCCCGCAGGGGCTTGCTAACCTGGCCAGCAGGCGGCCAACATCTGGCTACATGGGTGCACTCGTGACCAGTTGTGCAGCCTGAGCCGTGGGCATGTGTCTTGCCTCTCCGCTAATGAATGCTGTCTCATCGGGCGGGAGTCTCAACATCTCAGCCAGTCCCCAAGCAAAACGAGTTGAATATCGAAATCTGATTTTCAGTGAAGCAGTTCCCCACATGCTTCGATCCCTTCTACCCCAACACTGCACCTTAGTTTTTTAGGAGAAATGGAACAGAACCATTGGCTCTGAACACCACGTTCTTTTTGCACCTTTGCAATCCACCCTTGAGAACACAAGTTGATTTTGATTTAAATAAACAACATTAAAAATCATAGCGTTTGCGTGTGTTCATGCTCGACTGCCAAGTGACACTAAAATGTGCCGAAATTTCCTTAGAGTTGGCTGCCAGGAGGGCTTGAGTTTCAGCTGCAAAACCAAGATCAAATCAATGCCTTTTGCAAGCAGAAGCCAGCGGCCCTGTCTGAAGCCCTCTGTCCTCACTCACCAGTACATGTTACTAACACGGGCCCGGAATTCCCTGCTGGTCCCTGTGAGGGGACAGTGTCCTTCTTGGTGTCATGTTTTCCGCTGGGCTTCCTGCCGGGCCAGACAGCCGTCCTTAGAAAATCCCAGGAATGTGAAGCTGGTGGGATCCCTGCATGTGGGTGTAGACAGCTGGGGATTAGTCCCATTTGTCTTCCATGTAAATCAGCACAAGCCCGAACTTAGAGACTGTGGCTGGATGCGGGGAAGCATTTTAATAAATACCAAAAGGCAAGCCATGCCCTGTCCCGATGCGACCGTGGCTGCTCCCTGCACACACTGCTCCTGCTCGCGCGAGCAGAGGCGGCCAGTCTTCCTCTTCCCATTTCTAGGCTGCCCCTGGGGGCCCAGAGATGCTGATTTCACCCGGAACCGTGAGCAGAAGCAGCTAGAGCCACGGCATCACTGCGTACACAGAGGTGTGCACCTATCTAGCGAAACGGGGGCGTCCGCAACCACAGACCCTGTCCTCCTAAGTCCTGGTGCTTCTGCGCCTCAGCCACGGCTCTCGGGTTAGAAGCCCCCTCCGGGGTTCCCACACGCACTCAGCCTCCTGCTTTGGCTTCCAAGCCTGCAGCT